ATTTAATTTCGATATGTCTTAAAATAAATATTTCTGAAAAGAAATTTTCAATGAAGTAATTGTGATTTCAGTATTATATCCAGGAATTTAATATTTACTAAATGTCAGAAGATAATTTGTTCTCTTTTCTGAATGTGAAATTATTAATTAATGATTTGTAGTATTCACACTGGTACTCGAGATAAGTGAACAAATGAGATATTATTGAGAAAATGTTTAGATTGTGTTTTGCAGGGGTAGTCCTGCCAGCTATCTTAATTTATAATATTTGGAATATTTAATAAATGTGTTTATCGATTTAATTAGTGTATGTTATTTTGTGTGTTTTAATTGTGGTCTACTGTAGGTCACCCATGTGATCCTTACGGAACATGGTTATTCAATCGAACCTGGGTAACCATATTGCGGTAGTAGAAAATCAGTTTTAAGAATTGTGACTATACGATCGGCCTAATTAATTTATTTTTGTTTTGTGAATAGACTTCTTTGGTGTGAAATTTATCTTTCCCTGGTGACTTGAAGAGTTCTGAGTAGTATTTGAAATGTTAAGTGTTTTATGGCTATCTCTAGATTTGTATTGAAATTTATGGGTTTTCAGGTTGGAGATTTGAATTAGTTATATTTTAGTGAGAGATAGATTGTTACGGAAATGTACTTTTCTCGCTTTGTTTTGACAAATAATCTTTATTTTACCAAAACACCAGGGAGGATATTTTTCACCACCCTTGATTTAAAATGTTAAGATTTTGAATATAAAAATAAGTACTTAGTGGGGATTTTTTTTTTTTTTTTTTTTTTTTTTTTTTTTTTTTTGTCGCGGCACCAAGAAGTTAGTCAGTTAAAAGTTTTAAATGTAAAATGTAAATTTTTCCTTTTTTTCTACGTAACATATCTAAGTATATACATCACGAAAAATTCTCTTCTCAACTCATTTTACAATCCGCTTCGATAAAAAGAGTCCTTTATTCTGTCTTTACGTACAGATCTCCCGCCAAAAAAAATCGGACAAAATGGATAAATTGAATCGGAAAAATGGACAAAATAGAATTTTCGTGGAAATACGATACCCCAAATTTTTCGGGATTACAATACTTCCTTTACTTCGTAACAGAAAGTAAAAATGCAATGGGATTAACGTCATCTCGTATCAATATGAAACAAAACAACTTACTCATTAAAAAACGAGGTATACAAGATATAAAGTGTAATTCATCGCTATCTTTCATGAAGTTGTTTTAACTTTAAGATATTTTTAACCAGTACTCCATTCAAAGTATTACTTATAAAAAAATAACACATTGGAATGATTTATGAATGTAATAATCTGATTTACTGGTTCTTTAATTTTTCCTTGGACTTTCTTTTACTTGTTTCACTGAATGTTTTGTAGACTGCTTGTCCAGAAAAGTCACGAATTCTCAAATTTTTTCAAGACTCGAACCCCTAAAAAATCTTTAATATGTTCTCACAACCCCTAAAGCTCTAAAAATTAAAAATTAAGTTATATAATCAACTTTTATTAATAAGCATGACTGAAACATGGAAATAAGAAAATGTTACCAAAATTAATATTTGCATAAATATTTCAAACAATATTAATCACTCTTTATCTGTTTCTGTTTATTAGATAACAGTTTTTATAATTGTTGCATTTTGTTAGTTGCAATTCGTATTTCTGCTTGTGCACACAACCTATTTCTGAATTTTGTTTTGATTCACAAAAAGGCACTAGACTCGCATAAGTCGCCACAAATGGAATGTGCACAGGTAGTATCTTTTCACTACGTTTTGGGAATATGCATAATATTCCCGAGCACCAATACTGTTCTAAAGTATTGCTTTAAAACTCTATTTCAAGAACACGATTTATGCGCAGTTTTAAAAGATCTTCCTTCAGCTCTTCATCATCCGACATATTATCAAAATTGAAAGAATATGGATTTATTATCTGTATTTCCGAAGTATTCAGCTCTACTCTTTTGAAATGCGCAAACATCTTGCTAATATTTCCAAATGATCCAAAATATCTTCGCATACACTTAGAATTACAGACTTATTGGAATTAACCATTTCTTCGAGTAATGGAAAGTTAAGTATAAAGATTCCTCTTCTGTCTCGTCGATACCAAAGTTGTAACTTTTGTTTGAAACCATTTATCTTCTCGCTTAGATGTCAATGTATTTACACTTTTCTGTTTGATAGATACATTCAGGTCATTCATGCAATTGAAAATATCACTCAAATAGGCTAACTTTTGATTGAATTCTTGTGATTTCATTTCTCCAATCGGATCATTGTCTAGTTCCTTTAGAAAAACGTTGACTTATCTTCGTACTTCTAAACAGCGCGGGAAAGCCATGTGACAGGCAGCAGACTCTATATGAAAAACTAAAGCCGAATGCATAGGGCCAAATTCTTCACAAATCAACTAAAAGAGCCAGTGGTTCAGAGTAAACCTAATTCAGCTTATGGTCTTGGCTGAAGTGTCAAGGATATTTTGCCTTTGGAGGTAATGTTTTTGATGCCAGAGTATATCGATGAAAAAAGTGGGTGTATTGTAAGTGCGGACTTTATTTCACCAGCGCAAAAAATCCTAATTTATTTCCTAACGTAGAACGGGCGCCGTCAGTACACAGAACCAAAAATTTGGATATTTAAGTCATACTTGGGAAAGACTTCCTTCACATACTGGAAGACGTCTTTTCTTTTTATATTTCCTTTCATATCTTCACAGAACAGGAAATCTTTTATGGCGACATCATGGACATACCTCATCAATGCAATGAGTTGACTGCAATTTGCAATACCAATTCCTTCCATCTGGAGAGATATTATTAAGGGTATATAGCACTAATATTACCGGTAACTTGATCCAACCCCAGGTCACTGATTTGTCTTTAAATAACATTATTTGATAACGGTATTAATTGAAGCTTGCTCGAGGCATCTTTCCTCGGAAGGACTGTTGCCATTTCTAGATATAGGCAATTATGTAGAGCTTCTTGCATTTGGTAGTTTTATAGGCCACATGGTTTGAAGCCATGAACAGTGTTTTTCTATTGGTATAAAACCTAATCTTGGAAGAGTTGCTCAAGAGTCAAATCGGATTCTTTTAGCTTTCCATGATTCAACATCATGGACTGCAAAATCTGCACCATCGTACAGATCGTTGAAATCTTCCACAGTTTACGCGACTTCAGATCTGCGTTTTAAAATACAATGCCACGAAGCAATCACTGGGGTTTTTGCACATCATCAGTTGTTCCGGTGCAAATGAAATTAAAGTTCTCATAATCATAATTCCACTTTCTTTTCTTTGACATCAGGAACATTAATAATAGTTTTAAAAATGTGGCTCAAGTTGATTAGAAGAAATATAGAAATAGGTAACTAGCATAACATTAGTATACTCACTGTTTAAGAGAAATAAGAGAGAACTAATGTGATGTTGCAAGATGCGACTGACATAACCGTATGCGCAGCAAATTTGTATTCGGCGCATGTGCAAGCAATTAGTTTTGCACGAGATTCAGTCTAGTGCATGTAATTTGTACACAATTATTTAATTTATTTTAAACCCAAAAATGTAAATATTTCGCATCCTCTAACATGCTAATTTTCCCTTCCAAGGGGTGCGAGTATCCCTGTTTGAGAACCTCTGAGATAGGATGACGACAAATAACTTCCATCTAGAAAAGATTCCCAGTTACCACCTGATTCAGGAAAGCAGGTGGTAATGAATTGAAGCTTGATTTATTATTAACTATTTGCCTGAAGATTAGCTTATTTTGCTCTAACTCTCATCACTGTCATGTAAGTAACATGGGTTATATTTTACAAAGTATGTAATAATGTGCTTTTGTTGTAAATCTCACCAGCTTCTAGACTTTAAGTTCATATTTTAGTTGTTTATTCTATTTAAAGTTTTTTCAGGTAGTATGGTGGTAGTTCTACTGCTTAACGGGCCTGATTTAAGCCTTGTTTTAGATCTCAATGTTTCTTTAATTAAATAGCTCCACTAAGCTTCTAATGGCGGTTCAGGAAGTTCGACCAGCCATGTTTAACTCTCATCAGGTTTATTCTTATTTCCTGATATTACTGTTTATTCGACTTTACTTTGGTCATGAGTTCACACTTTTTTTATCTTCGATCATATTGAAATAATCTCTGACATAATTACCTTAACGGTGATGTTAATTTTCATTTCATCTGAGCTCTTTTTGTTCTGATTTAACTCAAATTGATTTAAAATATCATTTAAAAAATTGATTCACATGAAATGTTGCTGTTCTTGATCTGTTGATGTTCCCAGTTCAACCTAGTGTGAGGGAACAATAATTATTAATACATATAGTGAAATAAGTTTCAAATATATTAGTTGTAATAAATCCCTTTGTCTGATGTAACTATAATCCAGAGCAAATCACTTCTTCAAGTTATCCATGAATTCCATAATATATTCGTAAAGCGATGGTAAGCTAAGGAAATCAAATACCTTCTACTGAAACACGAATAATATTCTTATATATCTCTCAGTTATATGCATTAAGAAAACAATTTGCAACACTGAAGCAGTTCATTTTCCTCGATTAATGCTTCTTAAATGAAATTCTACACAGACTTAAATGTTCCATAAGAAATCACTGAGGTTTCATTGAGGGAACTGGATTAATAGGTCAATAATATATGCTAACTGTATTTCACGCCTGTTTAAGCTTCCCGAAATATGAATATAATGTCAAGGATTTCGCAAGGGGTACAAATAATTTAAAAGCTTTATAATTGGAGTACCTGGAAAATATGCTTCACTTAAAATTCCAGATAAAAATCGGCTTCTTTATTAAACGCAATGGTTTGAAACAGATGTTGACATCATGCATTGTAATTATTATTTTCTTTTATTTTCCATTATTACTGTATTATGATTTATCTGATAATCAGCAGTCTTAAAAGTTCTACTTGAAGAAACTTTAACCATGAGTGCAACTTATTTCTTTTAGGGTCGTACGACATGAATGCTTTGATCTTACGCTGGCACGATGAATGCGTCACATTTCTTGAAAGTGTGGAATTGCCAGAACATTTCTTAGATAAAGATGATGTCATCTGCAAATCTTTTAATTCATCCTATGAGACGTCAGGTAAAAGGAAATGTTTTAGGCATTTATTTACTGCTAAGAAAATATACGCTGCGTAGATTATTACAAGTATCAATTATAAATTCCAAGTCATTTCAGAAAATATTGGATAGAGAAAGTTGGAAAGCTTTATTGTAAATAATACTGAATATTTACCAAGCAGTGCTCTCATATGGGACAATTTGTAAGAACATTATCTTGTATCCTATTTTCCTACAAAAAAATTCACTTGTCCTAGTTAATACACACAGCTAGGACACAGAAAATAAAATGTAATATTGTAAACTTAAGATTTTAGAATAAAATGCTGAACTAGAAAAGAAATTATAGTATGTCATTTGAATAGTGCATTTTTATGCGGTCTCTATGAAGCATATGTTATGCGAATCAGTGTCAAAATGCTTTTACTTAATTTAATTAATCAAAAGATTTTGTGATTTTGTGCATGTATCTTATGGCTTTTTTTTCATTGTTTAAACCAGTATAAATTTTGATGAGTAATTTTATGTTATATGCAATGTTGTTCTTTCAAATCGAACAAATGAGATTAGAAGACTGAGGTACCGATTTTTCGGGAGGGTAGAGCAGCGCCGCAAGATACATCTGTGTGAGAGGATTTAAATCGTTGATTTCCAGAATAGTAGGCTAGAAGAAGGAATTCCAATTTCGTCCTTTCTCTTTTCATCCTGTGGGCAAAATCCTGCCGTTTCATCTGCTAACCCTCCTCTCATAACTAAACCTATCGATGAAAGCTTTCCGGTTTCATCCGTTACTCTTCTCCATCCTCCTCATTAGTACTCCTACCAGTTGGAAAGCTGAATTTTCTCCTATTCATGCCCTGTTCAACCGTCGTTGTTTAGACAGTCGTTTTGCTGAGACAGGAAATATTATGTAATAAATGCAAATTGGCTTGCTGTGGCGTAGCTAGGATTCCAGCGCCCAGGGACAACTGAAAAATTTGCGCCCCTTTCTGTGTGCCATGAATGGAAAACATTTCATTAAAACATTTCGTAGCATCAATTTGGCCCCGCCTGAATGCTGCGCCCGGGGACAGATGTCCCCCCTTGCCCACCCTAGCTACGCCACTGTTGGCTTGTTACAATTAATAATCTGATCAGTATAACAACTGATGTGAAGTAACTTCAAAACGATGTACAGGAGGGAAATTCTAGTCTGTTTTTTTTTCCGTCATGTATAATTATTCTGAATTCGTCTCTTGATATTTTCATTTAACTAGGTTTAAAATATGACCATGAGTTTAATGAAACCTTTATTTATTGAAACTATACGTAGACATCTAGCTGTAATAATATTCGAAGATAAATTATACCCTTTAAAAGTTACAATAAAGCTGGATTTGCCAAAAAGCTCCCTGAAAGAGAACTTTATTAACCGTTTTTCAAGATGATATATTTCAAGAAGGAAACTATACCTGCATTCTTGACATAGCTGAGATTAAGATAGAGAAATATATAACGAAATTAAAAAAGAAAAGAGTTCGTGATGAACTTTCTTCCAAGTCAGCAAATTTATACTGATACCAGCTATCACCAGCAGGAGATTCGGGACTTCGGATTTCGTAACAGAAAACCCTAAATTAGAATATGTGAAATCTTCTATGGGAAAACACCGACGTAATAAATTAAGTTAATTTTTCATAGCTTGGTGCGAGATAATTTCTTTTTGTCAGAAAAATTCAGTCAGCGTCTTAGTTATTGATGATACCATATCTGAAAGAATATAATGAAGAATATTATTTATATTTATTTTACTGTGCACAGAGGATTTTCTATTATTAATATTATTCTGTGTATACATAAACTGGTTTTAATACATTTGATGTAACATTTGAAAAAACATATTCTATCTTGAAGGGAATGAATTAATTCTACTATTATGCTACACATTTAAACTATTTTAACTAAGAATATGTTCTAGCATACTCCAAAAACAGAAAATTGTATGACAGTAGTTAATAAAGAAGAATTTATGGCTTCAGGTTAATTCATCCGATAGGAAATTGAGGATCCTCTTTTTTACCTTTAATTCTGCAGGCAATAGTCATTGAAATATCCGGATTCTTAGCACTTCCTAAACAGAAAAAATAACAAAGTTGTTCAATAACAAAGAAACAAAAAAAAAAGATACGATAATAATAATAATAAATAAATAAATAAAATAATATATAAACCTGCATCTATAACTCCTCTTTTAAGGCGACGAAATCTGCCTCAGTTGCATTCTTGTCTTCGGGAAACTTAAGTATATGCTGAATCATTAAAAATCTGTCATATATCTCTGTAAAACTATAAAATACTTTGTATACTTTTGTTCATGATGAAATATCTATCATGTTATTAGCTTTTAAAGTTTACTAACTACACATTTAATAGACTTCTAAGAAAATGTTTTAACTAATATATATTTATAATTAAATGAGTCGTAAGATTCAAAGGTAGTCATTTTTAAATTGTAAGTATATATAATATTGCATAAACCTATCATTCTTTAATAGAATTACGCATAATAATAAAAAAAAATTACTAATGCTTCAAATTCTAATTTTTTAATAATTTATTTTCCATTCGTTGTATGTTTGCTGAACGCACATGGATATATATCAGTTATGTAGAATGAAAACTGCAGAGAAGGCAGTTAAATTTATATAACAGCTGATTATGAAAAAAATTAGAGTTACATTGCACTTAAATCTCTGTTAGCATGAACAGACTTTTTAAGTGATATAAAATTAAATTTAATTAATTATCTATCAGGAAATAATTATAGGGAAACCCTTTATTGGCGACATCTGTAAGAGATCGTCTTCTGGAAAAACCTATATTTTTGAGAATAAAAATAAAATTGCAACAAACATCACCTTTCTAAAACCGCCACATGCACAGAACTTCAAAACCGTCTTAAAACCATGGGGTGGACGCGATTAAAGAAGTCGCACTGTATTTTTCATAAAGCATGTGCATTAATCTTAACTACACGTTTCTTACATTTTTATTTGCTTTCAAAGCAATGAAACCGTGGTTCTGTTGCTTTACACATATGTCAGTTTAAGAGAATGGACTCTATGTACATAACCAAAATGTAACTAGACGCAGGTGCACAACTTTTGAACATGCCTAAAATTCATTATTTTGCTCAGAATAATCTATATACAGAAAATATTTAATAAATGCTAGAAATTAAAAGCTGAGTCAGGTCAAAGTAAGAAGGATAATCTAGTTTAAGCAATTTAAACTGACAAAACATGCATTCTCTTTATCTCAAAGTGACTTTTAAAAAAGCGGATGAAACAGGAAAGACGGTGAGGGTGAGGGTGAGGGTGGAAATCGGTGAGGGTGGGGGGAAACGGAAGAAACAGCACTATTTTGAGCTAGGGATGAAACAGAAAAAAAAGAAACGGCACTAAGCAGACTCGCAGAAATAGATCCATAATCAAGATACAAACAATCCTATACTAGACATTTTCCTATAGAATTCTGTCAAAAATTAGATTTTAGAGTGAAAAAACTTCTAAATTTGATCAGCTTATAGAGACATTAGGTATATTTTTGGAAGCAGGGAAGATGAAAAATGAGCAATCGCCTTCGCCCGGAATCGAACCACGGACCTCTGGAATACCGGCCCAGCGTGCAGAACCACAACACCACGAAGTCAGGCTAGGAACGCGGCAGAAATACCTTATAAGCTGAAGGAGAGAATGACAAATGCATGTATAGGTAAAAGTGGGAAATAGACCAGAATTTCACTATTAGTCGTAAACGTATAGTAAACCTAACAAATTGTGCAGCTCCGCCCCAATTTTAAGGAAGAGCATTCGGGGGGGGGGGCGGCAAAGGATTTCCCATCCGACTTCCCTATCACCAACGTCTCGAGAGCATTTTTGGCTCGCCATATATTTTGAGTGCCCCTTTGCCACTATATAGACACTATAGTTTTACAAATATTCATGCCTTCTCAGGAATTCAAACCCAGGCCCATCGGACCGCCAGTCAACATTATTAACCATTATAGGAGTTGGAAAGGCTCACAAAACTACAGACTCACAAACTACAGACGTTTGTGAAAATATGGGCAGCGTCATGGGTTTCAAACTCATCGTTAAAGAAACACTAAACTTCAAAGTTTTTATCTAAAGAAATTCACTTTTTATCCGTACCTTAAAGTCAGAATTTCGCTTTCTTTTTCCATGCGGAGGAAAGTGATTTATGTCATGAAATATTTCAGAACTTCATTGACAGCCAGTTCTGTTTATTACTATATACAAGTTAATAAGTTTTCGATGAATGTAACTTGAAAAATAAACTACGAATTTCCTAGGAATTGAACCACGAATCTTCCGTATGCTACCTGGATGTCAATATGCGATTGCATGAGAAAAACGTCACCATTCATTTTGCCTGATGCAAATGGTGACAAGGAAGAGAGACATTCGTTCGACCAAATTTAGATAATGATAAGTTATCATTCATTATATTTTAATTCAAATCTGTATGTATTATTATATTTTCGAAGTGGGAAATTTGAAAATTTAAGTAACTTGTTATCAGGAATCGAACTGCAGGTCTTCCATTTGCTAACTGAATATGATAATCATTACATCTTAAAAGCACATTTGAATACAACTTTATAAGGTATTTCTCTTGCCTTCTTAAAGAGCCTTCGGGGTGTAGTGGTCTGCACGCTCAGCGCGTAATTGAGAGGTCCGCGGCTCGATTCCCGGCGAAGGCGTTGCTCATTTTTCACATCTCTTGCTTCCAAAATACCTAATGTCTCTACCGTAGTACCCGAACTAAAAGGGTGTTGGATGATGATTCTCCACACCCAGGATTTGTCGATTGGGTCTCCTAAAAACACCAGTCGCCCTCTAAAAGGGGAAGTACATAAGGTATTTCTCCCGCCTTCTTAGCGAGCCTTCGTGGCGTAGTGGCCTGCACGCTCAGCTCGTAATTTAGAGGTCCGCAGTTCGATTCCCGGCGAAGGCGTTGCATAATTTTCATCTTGCCTGCTTCCAAAAATTACCTAATGTCTTTACAACTTAAATGCCGAACTGTTTTTCCTTTGCAAAGATCTTCAAATATTATATGATAAAAATTTATTATTATTTGAACTATTAATCAGAACATCGAACATTTTTAGCCAAACTGCATCATGTGGAAAATTTACTGTATTCTGAAAGCCTACATTATTTGATTGATTTCTTAAGCTGGAGTTAAAAATCAGTTTTCTGGCTATCGTTTTGAAACACTCTGCGTATTGCATTAAGCTATTTGCTACCGTTTTGAAACATTCTACATGTTGTATTTAAGTTCCTCAGAAGACATTCTAAGAAGTGCTCTCGGTTTTTAGGTGATTTCAGCGGTCTGGTAGCTCATCTGCGCTTCAGAAGGGAAATTCCTTACTACCTGATGGAAGTGTACTTACCCATCAGCCTCCTGGTCATCGGATCGTGGCTGTCCTTCTGGTTGGATGTTTACGCTGTGCCAGCCAGGACGGCCTTAGGAATTACTACCATCCTAACAATCATAACAAGTTCCAGGGGGATCAAAGAATCTATACCCAGAGTGAGTATGGCAACAGTCCTTCTAATCAACCCTTTCCATCAAATTTTGAAAAACTTTATCCTCCTCCCGAGTTTATCCCTCCGAGTTAATTCTATTATTTACTTCATATTTTGTTAAACTTTAATATTTTTTTTATTAATAAACTTAACGGTCTGAAAGCGAGTACTGGTAACTATATTCGAAATAAAAAAAAAAGTACAGTTCTGTATGTCCCGTTCTGCGGGGCCGTTTGACGAAATTCAAATTGCGTTTTCCATGTCTCGAAAGCGCGACTTTAGATATGCATTACATTTATATATAGCATTGCTCTAATAATAGGTATTTTGACACAAAATCGAACTTTTTCTGAAATGGCATGCCAATGTTTTTCCAGATTCCAATTATACGACTCAAATTATGCCTCAATATTAAATTTGATAAAATTTGGTACGAAATTTAGGGAGAAATTCAAAAATTTACCTTAACGCTTTTTTTTTTTTTTTTTTTTTTTTTTTTTCAGTTTGCGCCAAGAATAATTCACTTGGCGAACTTCTTAATATATGGCAATCTATTTTCCTTTCCCTTTTTACATTGTGCATTAGAGGGAAAAAAGTACTTTGTTGCTGCTTTCATAAAATTTCAAAGCAATGGCAACAATGTTCGAAATAAATAAAACATTTTTATCTCCAGCACTCGAGACTTTTGTGATCGGAAAAAGACACGATACTTATCTTTCAGTTTAAATTAACAAACTATGCTGTATAAAAGCAACGTGTTGCCGGAGCCTGAAATAAAATACTTTTATCTTCCACAGTGAGTTGCCGTCCGACAGTGTGTTGCTTTAAAATCATAAGATGTCTAATTATAAATATTCAATATTTTTATGAAGTTACACTAGCTATGTTCATTAGAAGAATTATTTTCATTTTCATGATAACTGTCTTTGGCAAACGGCCCCGCGAGCGACTAGTACTTAAATAAATAATACAGAGAACATAAAAATATGTATAGCAACTTCTAATACTCCATCGGTAATTTTAAAGATATGCCGTTTTTAAATATTTTGTGGTTTCGAGGTTGAATTGAATTTTATGTGGCGCAGGTGTGAAGAACGATATGTTTAATAAATAATTAACATATAAAATTAATAATAAAAAGGAAAAAAATTTTTTGCTTGCCATCTTAGCAAGAAAACTCAATATTAATGTGATGAATTGAGAAAAGACTGAAAAAAAAAACATATAAGGATATGCCAACATTTAACTCTACTTTAGGAATTCAAAAATTCAAAAATTTTGCGATTTTGCTGATTGGCGTAAGTTTAAAAAAACGATGCTTAATAATAAAGCTGTAAAGACAGAAAAAAAAAATGGGTTAACAGGAGTGAGTGCGAGAGCAGACAAGTAGACTGCGAGGTCAGCCATAGGGTAAAAAGCCTTAACAAACCTTTTTGGGCGACCGTTGAAATCTGAAAACTTTCAGATTTTTTTTTTTTTTTTTTTTTTTTTTTTTCTGTGTTTTTTTTTTTTATAATATCAGCAAATGTAAGTTCATTTTACTCTGCCCCTATAATCCCCGTGATATTTAGGTAACAGTACCCAACGGTCGTTTAACTGCAACAATACGTTACAATTCCCATGTGCAATAAATATGTAATGTTGTAGCTGCAAACTGTCATCGGTTTTAAGTGAAGTACCATTTCCGATTCTAAATTAAAAACTGTCATGGGTTTCAAGTACCACTTTCAGCTATCCAGTTTTACTCCAAATCCAATCAACTCTTTATATAAATGCAGAAAGCTTAAATACGGAAAACAGAAGTTTTTGGAAGCTGGATAAAATTAGCTTAGACGAGAAAATCCTCACATACGAACAACACACGGACAGACATACATCATTTTAGAAATCGAAAAAACGTGTCGTGGGAACGTTGATTCGTACGCATTCACTGAAAATATTTTCACTCTTACCTATATACAGTTTCGAGAGAGGGAAAAAAACAAGGCATTTTGTATTTTATGCCTAAACTTTTTTTTTTTTTTCTGCTCTGATTTTAAATCCAGTATAAAATATTAGTTCTGTGATCAGAAAGTATGAAATTCCATTCCCTTTGTTCATACTAAAGTTTCCTGTGTCTCACTATACCTATGCGTTTATTATATTTGTTATATTTTCGGATATATTTTCTGGGTGTCACTATATGGTCCCTTCCGACACAATCTGCTGAAAATCAAACTCAAGTGGCAAAGAAAATTGCATATTCAATACAGAGTTATGACACGAATGTTGCAGCGGTTCACTGAAACTATTGACATATCAAGAAGTTCTAAGCAAGGTTGCTTTTAAGGCAGTGGTTTTCAATCAGTTTTGCCCCAGGCACCCCTTACACCACTGCTAGAAGATCATTCTTGTCCTTTCCAAAATTCGAAAAATACACTATTAGACAAAAAAAAAAAAAAAAAAAAAAAAGACGCACCGCGACGTACAGAAAAGATATAAAGCAAATTGGACACAAATTGATATGCATACATCTTTCGACGGAAAATGCAAAATTTTACATTTTGGCTGCCAATGAATGAACGGTTGTCGCTACAGCGCATCTGATTTGTGCAACTGGCAGGATATTTAGGAGAAGAAATTACGATTCCAGGTCATAAATTCTTCACGAATTTCATTCCTTGTACTCTGGTAGACAGTAACTATGCCTCTCATACAGGGGCGCGAACGGTATGCGCAGATGTCAGAATTTGAGAGAGGTCGTGTAGTTGGGCTCAAAGAAGCCGGTTGGTCTTGTCGGCGAATAGCTCGACATTTGAGCAGGAGTGATGCCACTATTAGACGATGTTGGCAGAAATGGGTGAACCATGGCCGCACACAGCGTCAAGAAGGAAGCGGTCGGCCTAGAGAAACGACAGAACGTGAAGACCGCGCTATCATCAGAGCGGCACTCACAGCCCCAGATACATCATTATCATCGATTCGCTGTGCAACTAGTGCTTCAGTGACCGCAAGGACCATTCATAGACTGCTCACAGAAAGGGGGCTGAGGTCATGGTGCCCCTTGCGCCGACTACCATTGACCTCTGTACATCGTCAAGCCTGTTTGCAGTGGTGTCGGGCTCATTCGCACTGGAATGTCACTGACTGCAGTAGAATAGTCTTCAGTGATGAGTCCCGTGTTGAACTGAGCCCCGATGACCAGCGAAGGCGAGTCTGGAGACGCCCCGGACAGCGGTGGGATACCAACCTGACTGTCTTCCGGCAGACAAGCCGACAAGCAGGAGTGGTGGTCTGGGGTGCCATTTCATTTCATAGTAGGGCCCATTCGATTGTCATCCGTCTCAACCTTACAGCACAGCGGCACGTCAACGAAATTCTAAGGCTCGTTGTGTTGCCCTTCGTGTCACGCCCCCCTGGGTTTACATTTCAGCAAGATAATGCCCGCCTCCACACTGCACATGTTTCTACTGCTTGCTTTAGTGTTTTCCGAACATTACCTTGGCCAGCAAGGTAGCCGAATCTCTCGCCTATTGAGCACGTTTGGAGCATTATGGGCAGGGCCCTCCAACTAGCTCAAAATGTTGACCGATCTAACGCACCAGTTGGACAGAATTTGGCACGATATCCCTCAGGAGGACATCCGCAACCTCTATCAATCGATGCCAAGCCGAAAAACTGCTTGCATAAGGACCAGAGGTGGACAAACGCGTTACTGACTTTTTCACTTTGTGAAGCTCTATCTCTTTACAATTTTTCTCAAACTGTAATGATTTGTTTTTCTGTACATATACATCACTTCTACTGATTTTCGCCCCATTCGGATAACTCCTTCTTTGTCTAAGAGTGTATATACGCATTTATTTAGATTTAGAATATTTTAACGGCATAGCAGGAAGCAGCTGGAGTAAGGGCAACCACATTCCCCTCTTGAAACTATGAAATTTCCTCCAGAGGAGAATGCTTCTCTCGTTGAGGAAATTCTGATCAAGATACCTAGACAACTTGATGCTTCTAAGCAGGTATTGAGGCACCTTTTTGTACATTCCTGAGTGAAGAGGATTTTGTATGCTTTTGTAAGATTTTCTTTGGAGAAATAATAAAAGGTAAAGGAAGAGACTATTATCTTGTGCTAGCACTCGAGCTATATGAGAAAACACAATTGCAAGGTTTAAGAAAAACGCATGTTAAAAGTAACATACAGAGTTATTCAGGCAGGGAAACGGCACATACAAATATGCATAACGTTATAGTTTCTTAGCAAGTGAGCTATGAAATTCTTTAGATTGCTGTGATCGCTATATATTTCGTATTTGTGAGTATTGGAAAAATTGTCGATTTCTAGATTTCAGTAGAATGTACTATTTCTGATGTATCAAGTTAAGTCAGAATAAGAGATAACTGCTTTTGTCTTAATTAACGAGGCAGCACAGATATACAGTAATGAGCAAATAACCTTTTTGGGGAAAGTGTCAAGAAAAATCAAATTGAGAGTTTAATGATGTTGATCCATTTGCCAAGACTTTGTGATTTCATTGTTTTAGCCAAGATGTAGTGCTTAATTTTTTCTTTCCAGATAGGTTTGATATTCAATTTGGATAGTAACAGTCAACATGAATCAACCTGGAGCGTCACAACTGTCTATCTATCCTATATATATATGTACAAGAAATTATCAGAGGTATTTAATTGATGCGTATAATATCTGTATACACTATCATAATAATAAATACTCGGAAACTCATCATGTTTTCGAGAAAAATGTGAATACAATATATTTTGAAAGCAAAAATGTAAATGCAGTACATTCTGAAGGCAAAATCATACATTCCCACATCAGATCCTTCAGAAGAGTATCTTAATTTTACTCACATTTCTACACTGTCTTTTTAATTTCATACAAATTGTACATGGACTACCACTTGCGTGACTTCTTTCAATTACGGTAAGTATATTTGTTGACCATCTTGATCATCGGAAGTGAACCGAAGCATAAGTGCCTGGGATTCACTTTATAGTCAATCTGCTGCTTCGCATTACTTTTCATCACCTATAAACGTTAACAAGATATGAATTGCAGACTTAAAAAATTAGGAATCGATAGGAAAATGAAGTTACTATCAAAGCCTGGTTATGACTATGTTTCATCATTACCACTCCTGCATACCCATATGTCGTCAATATATTCCATGTAAAGGGAATTTTTATATTCATGCACATAGAAGTCAGTTTTTCCAAATTTCAGTATTTCACCTGGTATAGGAAAATTTTCCATCTTTTATTTATTTACTGACTATAATTCTTGCTTTTATAAATTCTATCCTTACGAAAGTATAAACTAGAGAAAATAAAAGGAAAGAATACGCATGGCGAGATGATTTATACCCCCACCCATGTTTGTGAAAATCAGTGTCTCTAGAAGTGGAGTTCTCCATTGCCTCATAAATTGATGCTTCGCTGTCAAAGCATTTCTTGGACAAAAATGGCTCAAATAGTAATTTGGAGAAGTTAATAATCAGGAAAAAACTGTAATTTGAACGGAATAGGATATGATTTGGAGGGAAATATGAGAAACGTATGAATGATGAGACGCAAATCCTAAATTGTTCATTTTCTCTATAGTTTACGCTGCCATATGTGGTCGAGCATTATCCTGAAGAAATTGGACTCCATGCCGATTCACGAGTGCTGGTTACTTATAATCACAATTTTTTATACATTTCTCGTATATCTGTACAGTATCAAGCTGAATGTATCGTTTCACCGTGGAAAAGGAATGAATAGTGAATAAAAATGAGCAGAAGACCATCATACAGTAAACATGATTTTTCTCATAAAGCAAAAATGCAGTCAGTCCTTCCTGCAGGGTCTTTCACTCCCAGGCACTGGGACAAAAATATACAGCTGTTCATAAAATACCAACTTCTCACTCACAATCATAATTCATTACATGAACCTACTGTTCTTAAGACGAAACAGTACCTTTCCGAACGCCGTATTTTGTTTTCATCAATGAAGGATCGTTACCATCATCTAGAAAATCTCATGCATAGTTTCGTGAAATTATTTAAGGCATTCAGATCAATGGAGGTCACAGCGATCATTTTGTAGACTAGAGTCTCTTAAGTGAAATATTACAAGCAACAGCGAATAGGTTTCACATTAGTTTTTCATCTAACGAATGTTTTATTAATATTTTTACTGCAGCTGCTGCATAGATTTCTTGTTTGACCTCGCAAAGGTAGAGCAGACTTAGTTGACTTTGCTCCCTGATTGATTTGATGTTAATACTGTAAACGCCTCTTAATGTGTCCGCGCCTGTTTTGATAACATTAACCGAATAATAACGTTAAACAATAAGAAATAATATCCTTCATAATAACTATGGAATTTAACTAATTTCATATAAATATAACTAGAAACATATAAATAGGCACTTCTATAGCATCTTAATTACGGAAACGCAAACGTTTGTTTACGAACTGTTCATAATATCTTTAATGCAAGTTCTTTTATGAACGGTTCATACTGTTTTTGGAAATAATTTGATCTATGCTGAACGTCTAACCTAAATACTCGGAGATATTTTAAATCAGGCCAAAAAGCAATCTTAGTTTGGCTCATATGTTTTTAGGAAATGTTTTCCTTTCTTTTTTTTCCTCCCTGAAGAAGAGGAACGTGAGGAATGTGATTTCAAGAAAGCGATCAAATCGCCTTCAAAATCCATAAAGTTATTGAAAATCTAAGCCAAACTGAGGTTGCTTTTTGCCCAATTTTAAATGATTGACTAAAATTGAAACCAAGGAGTTTGACGACTTAATTTCGTTCTTAGTGACATTTTCTGTCATTTGGCAACTTTTAAAATGTATTTTAAGCTTATTTGGCTATTTCACTTCAGTACAAAAATTTTATTCTATAATATTTTCATTATATTAACCGAATTGTTGATCACAATAAGCGATGTATTTTCCATGTTTTCGTATATAAAAGGGCGAGACTTCGACAATTCGATAGCAGTATCCTAACGATAACATTAACTGCGATCACATTTTGTGACGTCTACTATAATATTCAATGTGTAATGCTCGTTGAACAAAACAAATACAACAGTTTCATGATGCATGTGTGACACTGTCATAGACATAAAAAATTTGCATAAACCTTACTTGCTTTTTTTTTTCCGTGACAAGTAAACACTTAACATCATTTTACAACCATTTCTTTCATTTGCAACAACCCAGTACTTTGTCTGATGCTGCATCTAATGTGCATTAGCGGCTTGATATGCTGAAATGTTTATTGATACATCTTCATTTTGCATAGGTGTCTTACGTGAAGGCAGTGGATGTGTGGATCGAGACCTGTACGTGGTTGGTGTTCTGTGCCTTACTCGAGTTCCCGTTCGTCAACTTCATTGCTCGGAAGGGCAAAGAGAACGACGCTCTCGCCGCCAGCGCCGCCCAGAACAATTCCAGAATGGCCTCTTCGAATAAGTTATTTCAGGTTGGTTATGTTCTTTCTCTATTTGTAGCTCTCCAAATAAAGTATATTATTAATTACAACTTATTCTCTTATTTTATTTGCTAATTTGTACTGATGGGCTATTTAAATTCAGGGCTCAGACACCAAATTTTAATATAAATACTTGCAGTACTGGTTGTATCAATACCGATAACACAAAATAGACTAAAATAAAGCATAACTTATTGTACTACTTAGTCTTAAGTAAATCAAGTTTGATATAAATTGCTTATATTAATTTAATATATTGCTATAAAGCGGAAATTATTGATTATTATTTCAGACATATTAATTACTTAATAAGTTCTACAGAAATTATCTTCCATTCTGATTACTATAAATTGAATTCCCTGCTTCCTATTTCCAAAAGTGATTTGAGTCGTGAAGATTTTATAATTCTGGAACACAACCTTCGTACATATGAGCTACAAGTACGAATGGTGAATAATTAACCTGTGGAGAAAACAAAGAATTTGTTGCATATGCTCTCAATAAAAATCCACGTAAGGCAGATATCAAACATTTAGGTTCTAATTATCGGTGTCAAATCTCACTTTAATCACACAAACCTTTTTTCATTGCCTTACATTATAATAAACGATATTCTGTTGTGATGTTTGTTATTTACATTTACTTCCATTAACCGAATAAAATTAATACTAATGTATGTGTCTATTTATATTAAAACTTCAGCTTACTTCTGGCAATATTTTCTTCTTCAATTTAAGATAAAAATCGAATTCTAACAGAGATGCCACCAGGGCTGAATTAACCGTTAAGTAATACAAGAACGCGCTTAGAGCATCAAGGAAAAGGGACACCACGAAATGGTCTTTAGGTATTCAGGAAAAAGGACCACCAAAAAATTCCTCTTTGCCGTTTTTACCCCGGAATGCATGATACAGCTAAATTAAAATCGAATAACAGAAAGAATAATTAAACAACTGGCGCAAATATATGTGGGAGCACCAAAATCTTTTAAGTACTTAGAGCCTCTAAAAGTCTTAATCCGGCTCCGGTTGCGACAGATGTTTAATCTCCTTCTCAGAACTTTAGTATGATGGTTATGCCATTAACAAAAAACTAAACCTTCCCTCCTTCATGTCAGCTCACTCTGTTTACGTTTAACAGTAAAAGTACTAGAATCTATCACCCCTTCTCTGACACACTCCGGGGCGCATATTTCACAAGTGCACGTCTGTGTAGCCACCGAGGGAGTGGCTTTTAGGATGGACCAATGGCCATCTAGTAATATTTTTCTCATGTCACATGACCTTTCGCGGTTTTAAGATTTAAGCAAGATGGCTGAAAATATTCTGCCACGCAGTTTTGCCTACAAAATAATTAAAGCATTGTCGATTTCTTCTGAAAATTTTCATTGCAAAGTTAGATCAAATATAAGCAATTGTGAAGATTTCACTACCTGGATGAAAGAATTTGAAATAAATACAAACATTTGTTGGATACTCCGCAAAAATATCCATGTGAAATATTACTTAATAAATGATAAATAAGATGAAGAAAGAAATATGTGATAAACATCTGAGCCTAGATGCTATCTTTACATAAAACTATGCATATGAGAAAAATATTTACACCAATTATATGTGTAAATAGGAGTCAGAACTTTTTTTTTTTCAGTCTATATGAAACGGGTGTTCTCTAATAATAGCCAATGCAGAATTTTATTCAAAGTAAACTTTATTAATTTGCATTCGTATACATTAAGTGTGTTAAATTTCACATTTAATAGCTGCTCACTCTTAAATGTCTGTCTACACAAGAAATACTCATCAAACAGAATAAATTAATTTTATTCACAACGAATACATTCAATTAATTCACATATAACTTTTAATGTTAAAAATGGGTATAATTAGATCATACACAATATGTATTCTGAATCTTACACTTTCAAAATCAAAAGAATGCAAGCACTGAAATAAGAAAACACTAGATTCATTGTAACACTTCCAATCCTTCTCAGCTCAATTAAAAAAAAACTATACACTTGAATTCTCTTAATTGACAGCGTTAGCAAATGCATAATATTCAAGGTAACTGAAGCTTGAGTCATTTTCTCGATGTAAAGAGTGATAATCTGCCGTGAACATCAATCCAAATGTTAATGCGTGATAAACAAAAGCGTGAAAGTGAAATGTTAGCGATTAATTAAACTCATAAAACGAAAGCACTACGAGATTTTCTACTATTACGCCATATATTCATAACTACGAAACAAATGCGAATTAAAAGATAAACAACATGCGCTTACATGGCATGAAGACTTAGCTTCACAAGAGAAATACAAGCTCATTGATCCATTTTCGAAACCTCTCCCTCAGTGGCTACGCTGATGTGCACTAGTGAAATATGCCTCCGGAGCTGCTAATATCATTGCATTCGGAATGTTTCGAATATTGCTTCAAGCCTTTTCGTCATTTTCGTTTAGTTCTTTGTCCTTAACTTCGCGTTTATGCATAGCTTTTTTTCTTTATTTATGAATTTTCTACGCCGATAAAAATTTTATAAGGAATGGAAACAAAAACGTATGGCTTTAAAAATTCCCCAAACGCTGAATATTAATAAAACTTGGCCTAACCTGTAATTCCAAGCTTCTGAAAAACTATATAGAACATCTTACGACCTCTAAATTGATATTGAAAAACATTACTTCATCATAACATGTAGCAAAGTTAACATTTTGAACTTGAGTCTATGGATCAAGCTATTAAACTATTTTCTTTTTTCAATTCATTCAAAACTCTAAATGAAAACAGGAACTGTGCAAATTTCCTTAAACTCTGGTGCAGCATTCATTTCAAGAAAATAGATGCATTTTTTCATGGCTATTGTTGCTTAAAAACATACAAGTTAAAAACATCACAAAAACTTGATCTAAATTGCAACTAGCTATAATGACCTTTCTAGCTAAACGTCATGAAACAAAATCCTGCCGAGGAAGACGAAAATGTTGACCACCATTTTAAATTATTAAAAAAGAAAAAAATAATAATACGTTAAGTACCCTTTCAAAACACGAAATTATTATACAAATAAAAATTGCTAATAGAAAGAAAATAATTGCGATACAAATAAGCCATGACGTAATAATTCATTATGCGTTTAATCCGCAGGTACTGAAAGAAACGAAAATGTTTCAATCAGAATCCCGTAGCTTGAGACTGATGAAGCGTTAAATGCATTTGTGAAATGCGCCAAAAATATAAAACCTATGCTATTGAAGAAATAATTATTTCATTTTTTTAATTAAGAAAGAAAGCGGATTCTCTGAAACAGTTCAGGAAGTTCATAAAAAGATTTCATAAGCTATAAATAATGATGATTTTACAATAAAAATGATTTAAAATAATTAAAATATGAATAAATTTAGATTCTTATAAGTATGATTCATGAAATATGTTTTTAAAATCCCTATATGCATTTTTTTTCCTCAATAGATTCAATAAAGTCCAATAATCCGACATTCCTGTATTCCCGAACATGCCGGATCATTAAAATTTTGCTATATATAAGAAAGGCAATGCGATATTGCAAGATGCAGAACTGCCGACTTGCATTTACCTTAAAATACTATACATAGCTGATTCTTTGACGAGCTAATGTAGCCTTCTTAATTAGCTTTTAATATTAAATTAACGTTTTTCAGTATTTTCTCTTCACTTTATGAATTCAAAAATGATTTCTTTATTTAAAAGGAGAAAACTGTCATAATTTCACTAATAACCCTAATACTTTATGTAATGTTTTTAACCATGAGTAGATTAAAGTGGGAGTTTTGATTTTTCTCTTGTAGGCAAAAGATAATGCTGTCAAAGCTAGTGCTGTATGGTTATTTCCAAAATTTCTTCAAAAAGCCCTTTCCAAATGCTAGGTACTAGAACATTACCTACAGAATATATGAGTGCATTCAAAAACGTAGTAAAATAATTCTTGGAAAAATAGGAATAAATCTTGAATAAATATGCAAATATGAACACAAGACTCTACGTTACAATACAAAAGGAACAAAGTAAAAAGCATTTACATTGATATGAAAATGTTTTCCGTGTCTAATATGGAGAATAGGTGAAGTTTCAACGGTCAGGTCGTATTCTGCCAATTTAAAAATTGCAGGAAATTCAGACTCCTAACATGGGTCAAGTAATAGTTATAATGTCATGTAAGCTCATGATTATTAAGATCCTTATGAATCTGGGCATTTCACGCATACCAAAGCACATTTGCTATACCGTCTATCCCAATCATTCTGTCTTTTTTGTCTCATGAACCTCTTTCGCTATTGACAGACACTCATTCGTCGCTTTTCCAAAACTCGAAAATCATACTACATCAGTTTAGACTTTTTAACGGCACAGCAGGAAAGAAGGTCGAATCAGGCTGACTGCATGCCTTCTCCCTTAAACTTTAAAATTCCTGCCTTGGGGGGGAATTTACCTCTGGTTGGGAACCCCTAGCAAAGAATCTCTAAGGAAATTCTAGGAATCTCCTTAGAGATTCTTTGCCCCTAGTCTGTATTCGGTGTGTGAACCCAAGTAGGGAAGTGTAAAACAGAGCAGGTATAATTTTCACATGAAAAATAATTTTTTTAAGTCGGCAACTTACAATTCCTGGCTGCCTTACAGTCCTGGCTATAAATTACGATAAAAATAACATTTTTGTAAAGCATGCTAATGGTAGTTTAGACGTTTCGAGAAGTTCAGTTACTTGTTTTACTTTAACGCGATAATGCTGCCATCTAGCAGCAGTCATCAAAATCACTGATCAACCTCACAATATTTTATTTTTCCTGAAATCTTTTACATTAAACAAACTCTTCAAAATATTTTACGCAAATTTAAATTATTTTCAATAATTTTTAAAAGACTGAAATTTTTAATTTAATAATACCAGAGGCCTGTGATGAAAAAAGCTTTTCTGAAACTTTTAGCCATTCATACTGGAAGTAGAAGCTGAATGCAAAAATGGTATTACATTTAATCATATCTCACTGCATCTTATGCACCTGAGATTTTAATATGCTTTTTTGCTATTTTTTTAGGTAGTTCGGCAACCTGCGGCTACTAACAAGGTATCAGCGGCAGTAACTAATGGCCCGCCTATTCGCCAGTTTGGCGACAGAGATAGATTCCAGAATGAAGATACTACTGTTTCTGAAGAATGCTGTAGTTTTTCCTCGAAACTCACTGAGCAGACTGCTAAATCTATAGATCGAGTCTGCAGATTTCTTTTTCCATGTGCTTTTGTAATATTCAATCTCATATACTGGTTTTCGTGGGCGCCTTGAACGTTGCCACTGTCAATGTTCGTGTAACTAACTGTCATGTTCATAAATCGATGGTGATACCTTTCTGAGAAAAAATAATTTATGAGTTTTTTAAGCTTTCATATTTATGTATTATTTTTACACAAATCTAAAGTGACATATGAAGGGGTACACCACACGAAGAGCGGAAAATGTTGATAAACTTCTGACTATTTTACAATTAAATATTATATTTTACTGTGTATATTTTATAATTACTATATATAGAGATATTTAAGTGAATGATAATCCAAGATTCATCTTCAATTTCTGACAGTTCTGAAATGTGTTATTGTTTCCAGTAAGTAATAAAGAAATAACTGATGTTAAAATTAAAGAACAAAACTATAGAAACAATTTTGTTTCCAATCAACAGTGCGTAATTTCTTTTATTTATTTCCTTCAGCTTAAAAATTCATTGCTTATTTATTATCAGGGTATAATTTAAAGAGATTTTATACGTACTTTACATAATACATTGCAATAAGTATTTTTATACCCAAAGTGAAGTAAGCAAAATTTAGTTCTATTATCAATCGCAATATTTCTAATTACAGTTTGGTATTCTATCATCTATACCCGAATTAAAGTCCAATGCTAATAATGAAATTTTTTAGTAAAGCAGAAATTGCACCATTATGTTCTCCTTTTTTTTTCCACTCTACTTGATTCGAAATAGGCGTTTTTAATGTTCTGTTTTTTTATGGCATTTTTAAGTTTAAATAAGAAATGAAGAGGTAAATGTCTTAAGTTTTAAAACTGGAATTTTTATGAGATTCAATTTTTTTCAACAATGAAGGTTTACTTTTAAGAGTTGTCAGCCATACGAATAACTTTTATTTAAGAAGAAAAATCAAATATTTCTGTATATTTTTCTGCACCAAGTATTTTTAATTTTTTTTTTTTTTTTTTTTTTTTTTTTTAATTTATTGAATATTTCAGAAGTAGACATAAATATTTAGACCGTAAGCTAAAAATCACAGATTCCAAACTAATTTTCATTCAACGTCTTCCGTTCCAAAATGTTTGAGTAATAAAGTAAGGATACATACCGTTATATATACTCGAATGAAAAAGGACTTTAATTCTATATAGCATATGATTTTTGAGTAGTTTTAAAACCTAATAAATATAAGGATTTTGAAAGTCAAAATTATTTTTTAACTTAAGAAGGATGTGCCCCTTCATTCTTTTATAGATAAAATCAAATAGTGAATGTTCTAACCCGTGAAGCAGTAGGATTATACATTGTACTTTCATCTTGATTGCTATTTGTTGTATTTATCACTTCACATTGTATCTGTGTTATATATACTTTCCACTGCCAAAACTGGAATGTAGTTATCTTTGTGAGCAGTTTTTTTAAAGTCATTTAGTTCATAAAATCAAAGTCTTGTCGGTATGGATAAGAAGTTCGATTTGTATATTAAATAATTCGGTCCAGAAAGAACCTTACATGCCAGGAAATACTCATTTAGAGTCTCGAAAGATTCGCACAATTAAATCCGTCTTGAATATTTGCTCGTAAATACAAGGCTGTGATTTTAGAAATGACTCAAGTAAAGCACACTTTTAGATTGTTAGAGTTTGTCACATGACTCCCTTTATTAAAAATATACAATTCTTAAAATTTTATATGGTCCACACAATAAAATATATGCGAATCGGAGAAATACTTTTCAAAACCGAATTAATCATGGAAACAGTTCATCCTAATGTGACTGAAATTACATTATGGGTCGTTAATTAAATTTTCAGAGTTGTGCTGGCATATTACTGACAGTTGAGCATGTTAAAATTTCAAGCATACATTTCTAAAAGGTATGGTTTACGTGCGAGGAACATTAATACAGAAAAACGAGTTTCTAATTTGGGTTTTCCCAGAAGTGCTAAAAGACTCTTCCTGTCTAACGAATTTTTTCCTGGTTTAGAGTAAACAAATATCAACATGTGATAATGTAATACAATATCAAATTGTAATAAATTGGTACGTGATGCAAAATATTGAAGTCAATCTCTCTAATAGGAAGAATGGTGTATTTTTTTTTTTTAAATTTAATCCACTACTATAAGCTTGAAACAAAACTTTTCATATACGTTACTGTATTATTGTGTCAATATGAACAATAGTTAAATGTTATATTAGAAAATTATGAAATGCTGTTTTGTAATAAAATATTTTACAGAAAATTGAAATATGACTTTTTCTGTTCACCAGACTTTTTTCTACACTCAACACTTATGCTATATATGTGTTACGGTGAAACACCGAAATCTGGAGAATGTCGACTTTCACCGGTGAATGTCAACATTCACATAGTCTCTTGGTGTATGTCCGAAATATTTTCCAAATACTTTTATTTCTGACTTACACCGGTCAATGTCGACATTCACCATGTATTAAGCTTAATGTTAAACATATAACAATATTATATTTTCTTCTCCGTAATTCAGTCGCGAATAAACGCACTTGAAACTTGAAATAAGAACTTAAGAACATGAGAACCTAAAACACACAAACATTCAAATGAGAAAGGAAAATAATAGAAGTTAAAAACTTACTTAATTATACAGTACGTTCTAAATGAGAAAATAAAATAACAGTAATAAAAAACTTACTAAATTATGTGATTCAAATCTTATTTATTGCAACAACTTAAATTATTATGTCACTTATGACCTCTTTTCGACTTTCACCAGAGCATATCTGTGATTGTCGACATACGCCGGTGAGGGTCCGAGTATACAAGAATGTAGTGAAATATTCGGTCTTTCACCTACGTATTTGGTGAATGTTGATATTCTCCGGTGAAAGTCGACATTCTCCAATTTCGGTCTTTCACGGTAACATATATATAGATTAGCTTTTTCAAAACATTATTCGACACCTACATCGTGTAGGGAAATATAGTGGCATGTTATTGTTTTCCTTTATCGACTCTTGTCAGCCATAAATAGGAAATTATATTTACGTTACCAGTAAACGGTTTTTAAGGATTTTCTTTTGTGTCTCATATTATAAAAAGGCATTGTTCATCAACATTGTAGAGTTTCCCATTTAATTCTTATTCAAATAATCACTGGCATTTCGAAATCCTCTCTCTCTGACAATAACAGTCCCGGGTGGCATATACTCAGGCTGTTTTGTAATGAATAAATACATCAGCAGGACTCAAATGGCTGATAGATTCCTACCTCAGGAATCCGTTTCCTTGTCAACTTCGCAAAGCGTAATAGAGTAAATCATTTAAATTAAAACGTTATTTTGTGGCATTAGAACTATTTATTTCTAACACTGTGTGATATGCTGACTGAAAATTTATCTTTCTCTTATACTGAAAATAATATTAAGTCATTATGATGAAATTTTATTGTAATATATTAATGGCAGGCCTTTATAAATATTGCTTTCCTTTTCCTTCCTTATACGAAATAGAGGAAGTATTACAATCACAAAAATTTTCGGGTATCATATTTGAACGGAAATATTCATTTTGACTATTTTTTGCCTCACGTATGGATAGAATAAGGCACTTTTTTCCAAAGCGGATATATATGTATCGCGCATAACTCAAAAAGAAGTTAGCCAAACTCAAAAAATAGATTAAAATGGTGGACTTTACCGTATGGGTCTGCTCTAACATCTAATTGTGCACCTTCCTTTTTTATTGAAATCGACAGAACTGAATGTGCATAAACTAGTACCTCCAGATAAGGAACACTTCCCGGACCATATATTTTGTCCCTGAAATAGAGGTATCTCTTCTCAAGATTCATACTAAAATAGTATAATTTAATTCAAAATTCAGATTGTATCAAGCTTTAAATAAATGATATATAAACAAGTAACATAGCTACAGGTATATATTTGAAGATGAAGTTAATGAAAACTGAAAAGTTTAGTACTTACAGAAATTTATTGAAAATAATTCGTTATATAGGTGTGTTTGAAAGTCTGTGTATAACAAGCATTTTTTTCCTTGTGGATATTAATGTCACCCTTGATCTTAAGTTATTCTTTGTTACCATCAGTTATCATGAATTTTTGTTTAATTGATAAGTGTTTTTTAAGACATCTCTGTAGTATTTTATGTCAGTATTTTATGTCTCTGACTCTTCTTTGTCTTCTGCACTGCTTTTCAAGCTATGTTTGTTAAAACTCCCATCATCAACTGCATTTGTAATAAAAGGTAATATATGTCTAATGCGTAGCAATATATGTCTTCATTGGTGTTTCCAGTACATAAGTTTTCACCGTTTTCTAAACTTTCTTGTATTTGAGCACCTCCATTGATTTTGACAAGTTCAAAAAATTCATTTTCATTAAGGGCACTCGAAACTGGAATTTCAAAACCTCCTTTCTTAAAACAGTACTCCACACAACATTGTGATACGAATTTAACAGCCTCTATGATCCACAGAATGGTGCTCAATTCATTGACACATTTTGAAAGGTGATCGCTATTTCTGCAACCAGGTTGTCAAAGAACATGCCGCAAAACAGTTTTCTAATGAATCTTGAAGCTTCTAATTATATCTTGCAAAAGCTGCAATACTGACTTTGCATTATGTGAGAAAAATGATTTTATATTTAGTGGGTGGAGAGGTGAACTGTCATAAAATAACAGAATCTACCTATTTTTTCTAGACATTGTTCCGTCAAGAGCAGTCAACCATTCTGACATTTTGTTTTGCATCATCCGTGATTTTTTATTATGATGCCAATAGACTTATAAAGCTTTTGTATTTCTGTTTTTGAAGCATCTTGGTTTTCTGGCCTTTCCAGTTACGAATGGTTGCTCAAATCCTCCTTCCATGTTACAACAAAGCAAGACAGTGAAATGTTCCTTGGAGCTTTTCTATCCAGAGCAATTTTCTCCTGTGAATTAGGCAAAATTCGATAAAATAATCAAGTTTCATCAGCATTGTAGATATTTATGGAATCATAACCTTCACAAATTTCATTTAGCTCTTTTATACAGTCTGTTACATATTGCATATATATTGGTTTTCCCCGAAATAGTCTTGAAAGTAATGTTATTTCTTTGCTTAAATAGGTTTAACCAATTATTTGATGATTTGAAGCTCTGTAATCTCAGACTATTCGAAACTTTTTTTTTTTTTTTTCCTTCCTTGCAGTAATATTCTACCTATAGTAATACTGTTTTCTGTTGTACAACGAAACCAATTGAACAATATTGTAGCAATTTCCCATGCTTCAGTTGTTCTAAATTTTACAGTCTTGAAACGTTCATTAGAATTAGTAATTCACAATGTTTGTATTACTTCTCAATCCTTCAGCACTACTTTCTTGGTTTTTACTTAATCCAAATTTTTATTCTAAATCTCTCAAACTAAGCTTTCCAATTTTTGCTACATAAATTACATCAGCATTTTATTTTAATATTAATCTCTTTCTGTTTGAAGTCATGCTGGTTAACGTACGTAAAAATAACACACAAATACAAAATTACACTTCTTTTGCTCCTGAGTACTGGCAAGAACAAAAGAAGTTTTCATTCTATCCATATCATGATTTTCCTGTGCACTAGCAGATGGTCCAGTCATCTCACAGCCTTTACCTTCACATTGGTCCCTGTCTTGGATTACATACTTGTAGCTTGCTAACACTTTTTTCTTCCCCGTACTTCCCACTACTATGTTTCCTCCCCCTACTACTACTATAAACTAAAATAACTAGCTTCTGAATTCTATGAATGTGAAATATCCTTTTGAGACTGCATCGCAACTTGCTTTTTGTCAGTGTATTGTTCCTCTTTTCCATATTGAAAAAGAGTTCTCAAAACAGAGAGATTAACTTTGAATTTTATCGTTCCCTTGCCATAAAATGATCCTTCACTGAGCACAAACTTGCCTTTGAAACCTCAAAAGATTACTAACAATGAGTATTCTCATTTTTATTTATTTCTCTACATGTATCTTATTTTTGAAATATTTTTGTGTCCTTTAAATTGAATACACCTTAACAATAGGTAGGTATATAAAGGTCCCTATTCAAAGGGACAGAAACCAACAGAATCATTCCTTAAATAGAACTGTTCCTTATATGAAGATGTCCTTTGCGGAAAGTGTAGAGACATTAGGTTATTTCGAAGCAGCAGAGAGGAAAAAGGAGCAACACCTGCGAACCACGGACCTCTGCGCCCAGAGTGCAAACCACCACATTAAGAAGGCGAGAGCCTTAACCTTATATACTCCCCCTTTTAAAGGACGACTGAGGTTTCAGGTAATCCAGTCTCCAAGTTCTGGGTATGGAGAATCATTATCCACCACTCTTTTAGTTCGGGCGACACTGTAGAGACATTAGATTTTTGGGGGAGGGAAGCAGGAGACGTGAAAAATGAGCAACGCCTTCGTCGGTTATCGAACCACGGACCTCTGGAATACGCGCCCAGCGTGCAAACCACCAAACTACGAAGGCATGCTACCTTATTAAAATACTACTGGATATCTGGATATATCCTATATATATATATATAATGTATAATATATATATATATATATATATATTATAATATGATCTTAAAATTCACTTAGTTCGAAAACAAGTTAGTCTAATACTTGCGCAATAGCTGCAAGTAGATAATAATAATTTATTTACTAAAGAAATATTGATTATATTATCTCCTAATATTAATTTTAGTAGAAGTATCTAAAAAGAGTGAACCCAGAGGTAGGAAGTTTAAAATTCCGAAAATTGTTTTAAAGTAACTTAAATGTAAATTGTTAAAAGTGATTTCCTTAATAAATCAATTATTATTATCTTACTTTGCAGCTATTGCGCAAGTATTAGAATAACCTGTTTTCGAACTAAGTGAATTTTAAGATCATGCAACATTTGATATGTTAAATAGCAGCTATTAGCGCTATTTATCTCTTTCCTAATGCACACACTCTATATATATAATCTCCACTTTTTATTTTTATTAAGTTTAAAAGTTTTTCTACAAAAACTTTACTGCATTGAAGGTTAGCAGCCTCCTTACTTTTAAGTCTTGCTCGTATCTCTCAAATTGAAATCATTAAATGTCATTCCACTAGATGACAAACTTGCAAATTTAACGCCATGCCAGCTACAGGCAACACCAAACAGCAGTTTCTATGAAAAACGTTTAACTGTATTTACATGATTACCTGCGGCACCTGATATATTAAATATATAGGACACA